GGGCAGAGACTTGTGGCTCAGGGTGCCATTCTTCAGGCTTCAGACATCCCTTGAAGGAAACCACACACTGGTCCCATGTGTAATGCTTTAGATGTCATCATCTAATAGTGGCTCATTCATTAATTGAATACTTACGTGTTTTCTGTCTTGAGACAGGAATTTTACAGAATTCTGTTTCCATAGAGATGAGACAGGTGCCTGGAGGACACACATGTAAACAGTGCCCCGTAAACCAGTTTGTGGTGTGCTACAGTGGTGACCCCATGACTCATGGGTAGGTTCCTATGGAGCCGAGTCCTTGCATCTGTGTGTGCTCTTCCAGAGGGAGATCACATTTAGGGCAGAAGCTGTACTGGTTTTTATTCATCTACATATGCGCAGAAGCCCCACTGAATGCTCCCAGGATGGGTAGAGGCAAGGCAGTAAGTTAATGATCACTGACTAAAAGGATGAATGATGTCTGCCTTTGGACACACATGTGAAGAGGCCTGGGTCTCAGGATCCATTTGTTGGGCTGGAGAAGTCCTTTAAAGCAGGACACACACTGAGTCAAATGTGACATGGCCATGGATGTCATCACCTATCAATGCTTCAGAAATAGTACATTTACTAGGCCTGAGTGCACAGGCCTAAGGGAATGGAAATCAGATGAGACAAGTATGTGTCAGCAAGCCAGCCAAGGGCATAAAGCTCAGGTCACTGGCCAGGAAAGGGGATTCAAGGAGCAGCTAATCAGTGGCCAGGAGACAGCATGAGGGATTGAGGATTCAGGATAGAGACAGTGATATGAGAGGCCATCAGAGATCGGAAGGGGTTGGTGACAGGCAAGTGACAAACTCTGCCACTCAGTCATGGGTTATTCCACTGGGCTTTGGTTTAAGACCACATTTGAAGATAGACAATACTCAGGTGTGAAAATCCATATTTTTCCATTGATACATCTGAAATGAGATACAAGTAGACCTAATTAATGAAATGTTGATGTGTTCTACATTGAAACAAGCATTCTATTACTCAAAATGAAAGATAATCATCCCTACCTTGAAGGCTATCACAAGCCAATTTGAAGACAGATAAGGAAAGCACATGACTCCTCCGTTAGACAAGTCCTGGATGCTATTGGGGCTTAGGGAAGGGTATGCAACTCAGACCAGAGAGGAACTTGATACCTAGTGGATGATATGATGAGGATGAGGTCTTAGTGGTCATCAGAACTAGGATCCAAGACTTCACTGATGGATGGCAGATAAGGAAAGAGAATGGACCCAGCGTAAGCATTGTCAATATTAGCCTAAGAAAGGGGAAAAGGGCATTCATCATTATTCAAAGAGAGAGAATTCTAAGGAAAACGTGATCACTATTATAAAATGCCCCAGTGAGTGTCCACTCCATTTGATGGTCTGTTAGAACATCAACAGTGACTTCAGAGTAGCTGATTTCACTGGATATGTGAGAACAGAAGTCATTATTTAATCTTTCTATTGGTGAATCAGCTTAAAGTTGCTAATAATTGAAAAGTGAAGGACAACTTTATGAGGAAGTAGAAAGGATAGAGGCAAGAAAATGATCATTTATTGAATCTTGCCCCCCAAACCAAAAGCTAAGAAAACCTTTAAATTGCATTAAGACAGTACCCAATTGAGTGTGGAACTGATTACAGGAGCTTTAGATATTCAGAAAGGAAGTGAATGATGCATGCTTAGTTATGAAGGTTGGGTCAGAGGGCCAGGGTCATTGATGGGAGTGGCCATTTCATGATGATGAGGCTGACATTAGTGATATAGATGAGCTTGATCTTGATGGTGCTGACAAAAGAACTGCAGTCCATGAAATAAATGTGTTTCTGAGGGTTTTGTGTCACAGGAGAGCAGAAGTTACTGTCCTATCCTAAGCCATCTATTTACATGTATTAACTCACTTAACCCATACAGCCCTCCTTTAACCATAACGGTGTTAGCCCTCTTCAATAGACGAGTACATTAAACACAGAGAAGTTAATGACTTACTTCAAGATCATACAACCCAGATTTTATTGAGATAATACCTTGTCTTTAATTCGTCAATGTTACCCATGAAGGGCACCCCTGGTGGCTCAGACTGTAAAGAATCTGCCTGCAATGCCAGAGACTAAGGATCAATCCCCGAGTCGGGAAGATCCCCTGGAGAAGGGAATGGCTACCCACTCCAGCATTCTTGTCTGGAGAATTCAATGGACAGAGGAGGCTGGTGGGATACAGTCCATGGGTTCCAATAATGTAATAAAATACCTAAAGTGACCTACTTAAATGTAAATAATCATTATTTTATAAAAATCATCCTTTGACTTTTGATGGGTGTCATTTAATTTAATGATATTTCTACCATTCATTTGCCAGTGACCACCTAAGAAACACTGGGTCACAAGAAAGACATAAATCCAGGATGTCTTTAGGTTCTGAACTGGGCAGATAATGATACTATTCATTGAGTTAAAGTCAATGTAGAACAAGTCTGATGAATGGAAGGCTAGGAATGGATTTTCTACTGTAAACTTTGAATTTGGGATGCCAATGGAACTCTTCATTGGTGAAATCTAAAAGGTTGCCGAATGAACCAATTTGTAGCTCAGGAAAGAAGTATGTGTGTGCTCCATCGCTTCAGTCTCCTGCATTAATAGATGGGTTCTTTACCTCTAGGGCCACCTGAGAAACCCCCGGGAAACAGGTATGGACCTTATACATCGGCCTAGGAGCTGCGTGCTGTGTGCTAGGTCACTTGAGTCGTGTCCGACTCTGCGACCCTCTGGACTGTAGCCCGCCAGGCTCCTCTGTCCATGGGATTCTCCAGGCAAGAATACTGGAGTGGGTTGCCAGGCCCTCCTCCAGGGGATCTTCCCAATCCAGGGAATCCACCCTCATTTCTAATGATTCGTGCATTGCAGGCAGATTCTTTACCACTGAGTCTAGGAGCTATGTAACCAAAAAATATTTTTTGACACTTCCACAATATTCCATTGTTGATACTGGAAAGATGCCATTGGGCAAGATAACAAGGTTTGTACCTTGGTGAAGTTTACATTAAGGTGAGAAGAGAGAGGCACAAAAAAAGTAAAGAAGTAAGAAACTATTGGTTGGTGATGAGTGATATGAAGGAAGTAAAGCAGAGTGATGTGCTTGAGTGACAAGGCAGCTATTTTAGGTTCAGGGGTCGATGAAGGGCTCTCTGAGAAGTGGCTTCTTAGCTATCAGTGTGATAATGTTAACTGATGTCACAGGAGTAGATAATATTGCTCAGGAGAGGTAGGGAGATAGAGAGGAGAGAGCAGGAAGGGAAGGCTCACAGATTGACAGGGATCTGACTGTGTTCTTACTGCATGAACTAGGACATATTATTTAACATTTCTGACTTCAATTTCCTTACTTATAAAATTAACAAGCAATCAAAACTATATGTTTTAAAGAGTCATGAGAATCAAATGAGAACATTATATAAGTTAATGAATATAATACATTTTTAGGAAAACAGGACCTTAAGTGTGTAGAATTGGAGAAATCAGAATCCTTGAACCAACACTTACTATTGTCATTGCTCTGCACCTGCTCACTTTATTTAGTTCACTGATTTGTCCATCTGTTCAATCATTCAATCATTCATTCATTTTAATAATATAAAAAAATGGGGAGCCCATCAAAAAGAGAGCTAAGATGTTGACAGTTATGTTACCTCTAACCACACATTTCTCCCCAGCACTCTTCACCATGCTCCTCCCCACCCAATGTACATATTAGTCCAAAAAAAAAGTTTTCATTCATACCTCATTTTCCTTTTTGTATAGTTAATTTTCAGCCGTATATGTACAACGACCTAAAAGGATATATTTAAATTTTAAAATAGGGCATCATGCTGCATGTAATCTTTTAGGAATCACTTTTGTCGCTTCATTGTGTGTTGCTTCAGCTCATTCTTATAAAACATTGAATCACAGGCCATGTATGAATATCTCACAATGACTTGTACCTTCCGTTTGATGAGCATTTGGCTTGCTTCCAGGTTTTTATGTTGGGTATAATACTAGCAGTTTAATCACTTAATATGAACAGTTAAGAGACATTATCATTGTGTCTATTAATTTAAAACTTAATGGAGTAATAGGAAGAACGAGAAAGTTTAAGCATACTCAGCAGACTTCCAGGTGGCACTAGTCATAAAGAACCCGCCTGCCAATGCAGGAGATGTAGGAGACCTGGGTTTGGTCCCTGGGTTGGGAAGATCCCTTGGAGAAGGGAATGGAAACCTACTCCAGTATTCTTGCCTGGAGAATCCCATGGACAGAGGAACCTGGTGGGCTACAGTCCATAGGGTCACAAAGGGACAGACACAACTGAAGTGACTTAGCACACATGAATACACAAAGCAGACCCACAGGAGGCAGATATCCTCAAATGGCATCTGTAGGGTTAGAGTGGGCCTCTCTGTACAGGAAAGGTCAGCAGAGGTCCTTCCAGGGACACCCTGTGGGTGTAGACCAGGTGACCTCCCCCAACTCCGGAGCCAGGCTTTCTGAGCCACGTGTTCCCAACTCTGACCTGTGGGGTGCTGCTGCAACAATAAATGAGAGCTGAGGTGGGCTCAGTGGGGAAGGTTTTTTATTTTGTAACTCAAAAGAGGAGGCCAGAAACATTTAGGGAAAATGCAGATGTTTCCATGGGAAGATTTCAGCAGCTCAGTCTGCAGGGCACAGAGGGAGAGGATAGTGAGCAGCAGGCAGGCCGGGCCTTCAGCACTTTGATGCCAACTCTGCTTGTCACAAGTCCCTGTGGGTGAGATCAGCAGCAGCCCCCAGAGCAGCAGCCGGAGCCTGCAGACTCGTGGCTGCAACTGGAGCCCCCAGAGCGCTGACCACTGCCACCACCACAGCAACCGGAGCCCTGGGGCCTGCGGCGCCTGCGGTGGCCCAGGCAGCAACCCCCACACCCTAAGCTGCAGCAGCCCCCGGAGCTGGGGCCACAGCAGGGGGAGACTGGGGGAGGACGTGGAGGTGGGCACTTGGGGGGACATTTGGGAGGAGGAAGCTTGGGGGTGGGACACTTGGGAGGGGGCTGGCACTGCTGCTGGCTTTGCTGCCAGGACATCTTGCAGAGGAAGTCAGCACACCTAGGGAGAAATGCAAAAAGCCATCAGCACACAAGTGACAAGCAGATACATCCTTTACCCTGGAGTTAGTTGACTCCTCAGCCAAGACAAGCTACTTTGTGAGCAGGATCTGCAAACAGAATCTGAAAACTGACAGGAAGTGAAATGACTGCAGTAAAGCTCTCTTTCTCTTTCTATTTTTTCTGAAAGACATGGAACCATTTCCCTACGTTGGGCCCAAAGTCAGCCCCATATTAGGCTTCCCAGCCAGTTGGAAGCACTGCTGGCCATAGTTCAGAATCCTTCCCACAATGGATCCATCATTCCTAAGCATATCCAGTGGATGCTTGTCATCTCTGAAAACCTTTATTGGATGAGGACAAGGAGGAAAGACATAGTCTTGGCAGTTTAACCCCATGTTCCTGCTTCTTCTCCTTCCTTCTTTTCTTCCTCTGCCCCACAGCCCACAGTGGAGGGCTTTTTGTTGCCCTCCTCACCAACCTTGAATATTCTCAGCTCTACAGTCTGCTTCTCACCAGATGCTTACTTGAGGATGGCCTGACAGGCTCTGTAGAGAGAGGCCTGGACCAGAGCATCTCCGCAGGTTGCTGACTCCCTCACTTTGTTCCCACTCCCCAGAGACCTTCCCCTCTCCCTCCTTCTTCTGCTCACCCCTTTGCAGTCCTGTCCCCAGAGCCTCCTTTTTGAGGCACTCACCTTGTCAGTGGAGGGGTGGGAACTGTCACCGACAGAGCTGAGCATTGAAGAGCCCAACACTGGAGCCCTTTTATCCTGGGCCTGGTGGCTCACCACGGGTGAGACTCAGCCTGGGGATGCAGAGCAGTCACTTTCACAATCTGGGGTGAGTGACTCCTCACATTCCCAGTGCCTGGGATCTAGAATCTCCCCACATAAGACCTAGAGGAATCCCGGAAGCCAGAGACTGCTAGACATGTGCTTCCCAGGTCTGCTGCCAGTCAGCCATTCCCCTCCATGCATTCATTCCTAATTAGGCCAATAATCATGCAGTGCATTGTCTATCTTGGGTCCAGAATTTTGCATGATATCAATGACATGGTGATGATGCAGTTTGCCTTCAGGAGCTGGTAGTCTTGGAGGATGAGTTTGTAAACAGTGAATTGTGAGTTGTGTGTCATACAATCTTGATCTTTTGTTCATGTTCCTCATAGCTCTGAGCTCAGTGTTATCCCGCAGTCTTTCTACCTGTCTATCTAAACTCAGAACCCTTTGAAAGCTATCCTTCTCTGTAGTATGTGTATGGCACAGTATCTGGAACAATAAACTTTGGATGAAAATTAAACATCAGGAAAGAAGAAGGTAGATGTTTGTGAGACCCTGAGGCAGACTCAGGCAGTCAGCATGGCAGCCTGTTGGCTTCCAGAATTCCTTGTAGCAAGATAGATTCCCAGGGAGATGTAGCATTATTTCCACTAATCCTGGATATTAGTTCCCGAGAAATATACTATTTGAGAGTATAATGGGAATAAGTATCTGTGACAGTAAAATTGAATTTTAAGAAAAAGATCAGGGGGAAATCTAGAGTGAGCATGAAAATATTGTCCTTGAAGAGTCTGATGTCTCCTGGAAGGAAGTGGGCATACAGAGGGGATGGTGATGCCATCTCGGGAGAGGAGACTTGAAATGTGAAGGAGCCTGGGATTTCTAATAGGTTTTTGCTTCAAGGTTGAAGGTGAGGTCTGAATGTACTTGGGAACTAGAATAGCTACTTTTACCACTGGAGCATTGCATTCTTTATGTGATACTTATAAGGAAGATAAATAAAATAAGACATATGTGGAGTCCTTTAAGTTGACATTATTTGAGCATCTACTATCGAGCAAACTGCTGTGGATAGGGAGACATCTCTATCTAAACTTTGATGAGCCCACACTGTAGTCAGGGCAGTTTAAGAGAACAGAAGAAATCCTGTGATATGAATTTGCCAGGTTTAATAGGCATACATAGAGGAGCACTGCCTAACACAAACTGGATTGGTTCCTGGATAATTAAACCACATGAAGTTGGGCAAGGAGATAAGGTCATTATAGGAAAGCACCACATGCACAATAAAAGGCTAGGCACAGAACTTTGGGAGTATTCCAACTTTTGATAGGCAAAGACAATGTAAACACTTAGGAATCTAAGAAAGAAAATTAAGATATCTAGTTGGAAAAATCAAGAGAATGTCATGGCACTTTGGAAAAAACAGGGAAAGAATTTTTGAAACAGAAGATGCTGCCCACTGTGTGAACTGCTATAGACAGAATCCTGAGATTGGCAAGTTTAAGGGTATTGGTGGTATATAGGTCTTCTCTGGTGGCTCAGTGGTAAAGAATCTACCTGCAATGCGGGAGACATGGGTTCAATCCCTGGGCCAGGAAGTTCCCCTAGAGAAGGAAGTGGCAACCCACTCCAGTATACTTGCTTGGGAAATCCCATGGACAGAGGAACCTGGCAGGCTACAGTCCATGAGGTCTCAAAGAGTTGGACACAGCTGAGTGACTGAGCAGGCATGCATGCACATGAGACCCACTGTACTGCGTGGGCCCAGATGTTTTAGTAGCTGTGGCTTGCTTCAACTAAGCTGGGACTATGTGCAGTTTCTAGAGGACTGGCTATAACTCCATCCCTTTGTCTCTTCCCAGCTCAATAGGTAATAGTGTGTCATGAAACTAATTAAGAAATCGAGTCCTGGAATAGATTGGGAGTTTGGGACTGACATGTACACACTACAACATTTAAAATAGATCTACCAGGGGCTTCCCTGGTGGTCCAGTGGTTGGGAGTCCTCCTGCCAATGCAGGGGACACGGGTTTCTCCCTGGTGCAGGAAGATCCCACATGCCAGAGGGTAACTAAACCCGTGCACCATGACTACTGAGTCCGAGCTATAGAGCTCGAACCACAACTACTTAGCCCAAATGCCTAGAGACTGCTCAGCAACAAGAGAGGCCACCGTGACTCAACAACAACAAAGGTAATGGTGGCTTCGGAAATAGTTTAATGGTGAGGATTGAAATGATTTTATAGTAGTTTTGAAAAGGAACACTATAGAATAAGCAGAGGTCATTATGTCAAGAAACTTAGACAGATGAGTAATGAAGTGGAAAAAATGGACAGAAGGAACTACTCTTTTAATATTATACGTAGCAGTTGAGATAAGGTCATAAAGCCAAATGGGCTATGAGACATGTGGTACTGATTCGAAGAACTATAGCTATCCAAAAGGAGGTGGCCTTGATTCACACTGGGATTTTTAAGAAAGAGTTGTTGAAAAGCTAATGTTAATTAATAAAAGTGATGATGATACTGACCCTAAGCATACCTCTGGTCACGAGAGGCTAGAGCTGATACTGCAAGAACAGAGGATTGACAAAAAGAGTGCCCTGATTAAGACAACTTGGAGGTGTCTCAGCCTATTAGTTTAAAAAGACAGTCTTAGAGTCAGAGACGTACGCTGGAATCCCTACTTCTCCGTGCCATCTTAAGTGAGTTATATTTTTTAAGCTACAGTTTTGTTGTCTACAAAATAGCATCACAGTTCTGCTCATATGTATGAATAAAATTAATCCTGCCTGCAAAGCACTGAGCATAGTACCACACATGGCTGGTAGCTGCTACTACGGCTTGGCTTACCTCGTGTCAGGGGTAAAGAATATGCCTGCCATTGCAGGAGATGTGGGTTCAATCTTTGGGTCAGGAAGACCCCCTGGAGAAGGAAATGGAAACTCCACTCCAGTATTCTTGCCTGGGAAATCCCATGGACAGAGGAGCCTGGTGGGCTATAGTCCATGGGGTTGCAAAAGAGTCGGATATGACTTTGCGACTAACAACAACAACTTCAACTACTGTGTGTTCAGTTGTTCAGTCATGTCCGACTCTTTGCAACAGTATGGACGATAGCCCTCCAGCCTCCTCTGTCCATGGAATTTTCCAGTCAAGAATACTGGAGTGAGTTGCCATTTCCTTCTCCAAGTGATCTTCCTGACCCAGGGATCCAACTCGGGTCTTCTGTGTCTCCTGCACTGGCAAGAGGATTCTTTATCATTGTGCCACCTGGGAAGCCTATAATAACTACTACTACTATTCTAACTAATGTGGTTAATTCAATATTTTGGTATTTTCTAAAGTAGGTATTAGTCTTCCTAACATGATTTCCTTGGCTTATTGTCCTATTTTCCTTGTTAGACTCAACAAAGGCAGTAGGTGGAGACTTCTGAAGACAAAGATGGAAGAAGAATGAGGATTAGGTGTGTCTCATTCTACACCATTCAGGAAACCCATTATCTGTGCAAAGTGGTGTACTAGGTAATAGGGAGGATTCACTGAGGTTTGGAAACCACCCTTATCTTCAGAGCTGGACTTTATCTAGAAGGCCCAACAGACAAGCACTCCACCAAGTTTAATGTGAGGCAAACAGAGATGATTATAGGCAAGGCTATATTATCTCTGGAACAGGTGTGACTATCTAGAGGCAGTCTAAGCAATGCAAATGAACAGAGGTGGAGACAGAAAAGGTAGGTATAAAAATATAGAGATCTCTATTGATAAGTATATGTGTAAGTGAGACACAAAGATTTGCAAATAAGGTGTATCTGGGAGTGAAAATCTTATATAGAATTAGAGTAATGATATTATGAAAACAATGGAGAAGAAGTGGCAATATGAAGTGATTTGGGGTAAGAGATGAACAACTCTTTGCATTAACATGATTGCCAGAAGCATTGGATTTGGAAGTGGGCAAAATGGCTGAAGGGGTTCAAAAGATACAGACTTCCATTTATAAAACAAGTATGCCATGGGGATGTGTGTGTGTGTGTGTGTGTGTGTATCAGAAGCACAACACAGTGATTCAGGCTGTAGAGTGAAGTATGCCCCATACACAAAGCATGCATACACAGAGGCATACACACATACACACCAGTAGAAATGCCACAACTGAGTCCCTATGTGCTGAGCAGATGTCCTGACTTGTGATG